TAAACATGAGCCGTGTTTATAGGAACAAGCAACATGTTTATAGAAAGAGGCAGTATTACTGGCAGATAGGAGTCATGTTATAGAAACAAGTGGTAGTACTGGTAGACATGAGCCATGTTTATATAAAGAGGCATTATTACTGGCAGATAGGAGTCATGTTATAGAAACAAGTGGTATTACTGGCAGACAGGTGCCATGTTTACAGAAAGAGGCAGTATTACTGGCAGATAGGAACCATGTTATAGAAACAAGTGGTAGTACTGGCAGACAGAAGCCCTGTTATAGAAACAAGTGGTAGTACTGGCAGACAGAAGCCCTGTTATAGAAACATGTGGTAGTACGGGCAGACAGAAGCCATGTTATAGAAACATGTGGTAGTACTGTCGTGTTTGTTGCTGTTTAACGCAGGAACATTCCAGCTTTTTGACGGCAGTATTTTTAATAATCGAGTCTGGACCAGTCAGTCCAGTGCTTGATACAATGAACATCGTTTTGCTCAAGTGGTATACAGAGCCATGTTTCAACTAAGTCAGCTAGCCTGACAACCAGATCCCGTTAGACACTCGTAAGGACAAACAAAGGACCAGTTCCAATACGGAACTTCGTGGGTGTTATGGTGTCATGAGCATTTAAAGTTATTTATACACGAAGTCAGTTTAGATGTTAGCTGCAAAAACGTATCACTCGTCCTACTAGAAAGACAAGAGAATTAATTGATGCGGTTAACTTGAAACGCAGCATACGGGGAAGTACCCCTTGTTTCTGCAACCGCCGGAATACCGGAATGACTTTGATGTGGTTAAAACTGGTTTCAGTAGTCCAGTTCTTCCTCAATGCGCCGCCATGCACTTGACAGCAGATGCTCACACAGGAAAAGTAGGAATTTATATGCACATTCATGAATACACACTAAATGATTTGCGCATGCACACTTTTAATTGCAAAATCCTTCGCAGAATTCCATGATACACGAGTGTTTTCGTGGGTCATTTTGGGGGTTGACACCTGGTTTTGGGGGACATTCTTTGCGTTAGAACCTGGGATTTGTGGGACAATGCGTTAACACCTGGGTTTGTGGCACATTATTTGCTTTGACACCTCGAAATTGTGGCACATTATTTGCGTTAACACCTGGGATTTGTGGGGCATTATTTGCGTTAACACCTGGGGTTTTTTTGGTGGCATTCTTTTAAACAGCTCCTTCATCAGGGGTATACGGGCGGTAGTGTAGCCTAATGGTTACAGCGTTCGCCCATCTCGCTGAAGGCCCGGGTTCGAATCCCCACATCGGTACAACGTGTGAAGCCCATTTCTGGTGTCCAGCACCGTGATATTGCTGGAATATTGCCTAAAGCGGCATGAAACCTCACTCACTCATCAGAAGCTTAAAAAAGGGTTTTCCCTTGTGTGGATGCTGTTGAATTGAAGTAACATGAAACTAGACGACATTTGAATAGAGAATGTCCATGCTGACAGTACAATCAGGATTTCTTTTATATTCGTGATCGGGAGATATTTTAGAGACAGCTCGAGAGAAATTTTCTCCGAGGCGTCTTATAATACAAGGGTTCACTGTGTTAAAAGTAAATTGTTTCTATACATACTGATGGGCAAAAAAAGTGAATGCCTTGTTCAGTTAAAATTATTCAACAAAAAATAAAATCAGTTCATGTTCCCAAGATGGCTGTAGGGATTTTCGTATTTTCTACATAGGTGAGGTGAGGTGAGGTGAAATTGGGTCTTACGTCGTGCTTGAGAATATTTCGCTCACATGACGACGTGCATGCGTGTGTATGTGTATGTGCTGCTGCTTGTACTAGCCCAGACTGAAGCTGGTTTTATAGTGCTAGCCCACTGAGATACCATGCCGCAGTGAAGCATGAATACCCCACTCAGACACATTATACTGACTCCGAGCCGACCAGTCCTTGCTGTACCAATTAATGCCGAGCGCCAGGCAGGGACCAACAAGTACCACATTTTAACGTATTTTGGTATGACGCGGTCGGGGATCAAACCCGCGACCTTCAGCTCTCCGGGCGGACGCTCTAACCACTACACCACGGAGGCGGTCCGTCTACATAGGACGCGTAGCATAGAGGTTGAAGAGTTCGCGGGGCGGTGGTGTAGCCTAGTGGTTAAAGCGTTTCGCTCGTCACGCTGAAGACCCGGGTTCGATTCCCCACATGGGTAAAATGTGTGAAGCCCATTTCTGGTGTCCCCTTGACGTGATATTGCTGGAATATTGCTAAAAGCGGTCTAAAACTCACTCACTCACTAAAGAGTTCGCCAGTCACGCCGATTGCCCGGGTTCGATTGTCCAGCGGCGTCAAATCATATTCAGTCACTCGTGTTGTCTTCGGAGGCCAGGGAAGAAGGGGTAACCCAGTGGTTACAGTGTTCGCTTGTCGGGGTTCGATTCCCCTCATGGGTACAATGCATGAAGCCCACTTCTATTGTCCCCTGCCGTGATATAACTGGAATATTGCTAAAGGCGGCGTAAAACACAATTCATTCACTCACTATTCATATGCCATATACTACATTCGCTAAGCAGACTATTCCCGTCAAAGCCGTTCGTGGTGTTTTTTATTTCCACCAGAATACGTGTTACAGCACTGGTGGCACAGCAGTCGAAGGCACTACAGTTACGTCCTTTCGGAGCGCCAGAATCCGGTGATTGTTGGTTCGAATCCCGGTTTGATGTTTCTACGATTGTCGGAGCCATACCCGTGCTCGCTTGTGTCACAGAAAGTGGCGAACGGTTACCACCTGCATTACTTCGGGTTTTCATCCCACAATAAGCTGCTACGCCGTACTATAAACGGATAACTGTGGACAACTGCGTTAAAATAACACACTCACTCTTACAATGGACCATTGCACTGTTGTTCATTTTATTTTATGTACAAGATATTAATCTTTAAAAAAAAGATATTAATTTAATAACGTACAATATGCACAATATGTCACTCTAATAAATTACATCTTTTCAATATATATAAATGTGTGTGTGTGTGTGTGTGTGTACGCGTGCGTGCGTGCGCGTAATGATGCATTGATATATTTTCAGATATACTACAGCTTTATAAATACACGTGGGCTACAGATTTACACATAAATGTGGTGAAGGTCAAATACTATATTACATTATAATAATCATAAGCTGAAAAGATTGGTACACGCTGCCCTATTATTTAAAAGAACGAGATTATCAAACTGCAATCCTAACATGCGCCACTGTGTATATAATAACAGGTAATTTATTACACAATATATAACAGTACAATTAACTGTGACACATTATTGCATAACACGTTAGCAAACAGCCACTTAATCGTTTTGTTCCCCAGGGTGATAAGAAGGGTATCGCACCGCTGTGTGGTCCGTCTAACAGTAATGTTTATAACCAGTGGTCTCATGATTTGAGTGAACGGGGCGGGGTTGAACTGTTACACCCTAGGGACTGTGTGTGTCCTGGTCGCCTAATGAATAACACATACATAATGAACACAGCATGAAACGAAGCCATTACTGACTTGGTCCGTAACCCTTTATCACAATAACCTACCGCTTTCAATGTATGAGCGGAATTTTTAAACAAATTTCCTAAATATGCAAAATAATACCTATGGTTCAAATATGTTGACCCTGTGGGTGTTTTTGGTTTTCAGCACATAGTTTACCTAAAAATAAAACAGTTATAAAATACTTCAGCATGAAATCCCACATGCAAAACAAGTTTTGTAACGTTAACTGCAATCTAACGACAAAATCATGGCATTAAGGTAAACCATATATTAAATATACACGTATTCGGCTTTTGTTCTCATAGAAATATCTATTTAACAAATTAAAACACACAATACCTATTCATTTTGGGTCACTTTGACAATGTCGTGATTGTCTCAAAAAATGTAAAACAGCTGATTGTAGGTTTTAAACGTGAAATAGGATAGCCTGTCACTCGCTGTGCTGATCGGTAAAACAAAACGTGTGTGCGTGTGTTTAATCCTCCTCTCAGTATATCTGCCAGTGTCATACGATGTGTGGCTGATTTACCCTGTCCTTGTCAGCCCCTAAAGAGTCAGTGACACATTTACCTCTCACAATTGCACACCGGTCACACACTGGGGTTTAATGTTCGCGGAATAAAGCGATGTACGGAGTCTGTGTCTTGGGATATATTAATATACATAGCGTATGAACTACGGTTGGGTCCATATTTCGTCATTAATTTTGAAAGTGATAATAAGCCATGCTACTCTGACAAGGCGTGACGGACTTAAATACATATGTTGAAATCTTGAGATTAGTGTTAAACGCCGTTTGTGTCGACACGGGATTAAATTTGTCATAAACGCAGGTACCAACATAATCCATGTCAAATACACAAACATATCTAAAGTGCTGGTTTAGTTTTCAAAGTAACATAAAATGTATACGCGCGTTTCTTATATACTTTTTTATGATATGATTCATAGTAATTGCACATAATTCTTTGACTTCTTCCATTATTGAAAGCGTTGCGGGTCAGTTTACAAACGGAAGGGCACGGAAAAGGACAGGCTAAATGCCCCAAAACTTTTGTCAGTTGTGTTATTTGAACGTGCCAGTTTAAAATGACAGTATCAGGAAATTGAACTTCGTTAATCATCTGCGCGACATTTTAATCCCCAGAACCAATTCTCCCACGATTAACCAGTTGTTTGCTACTGCTAGTAGCCTTGCAAATCACGGTATGTAACCCTTCACATTTGCTCAAGACAGGTGCCCCAGTTTAATGGACGCACACTCTAAACAATACTCCGCCACGAAAACATAGTCCCACTGCAAGAATTAACTACTGTTCGTTTGAAGTATAATATGCATATGATACGGCTATGATAACAACGTGATGTAATTACCCAATGAGCCCGGGAGTGCTGCAGGTCGATACGCATGGTTACGCTAATTAATTGAGCGCCACGTTGGCGTAGGGATTTCCATCGAGAAAATAGTGCAGTTATGTTGTGAGAATGTTAGTAAGGTTAGAGGGAGAATCAGGACTGGTGAATGTGTGGTGCGATATACTCAAACTTAAATGTCGAGAATAAGACTCGATACTAAGCGAAGGTTTCCCCATGCCTTCTAACATGGAGTACATATTACGGATTCTGTTGATGATCGGAATCGTCCGTTTGTGCAAAGGTGAGTGTTTTACTGTTGCCACCGTTCGCCCGTGCATTATTCATGCCTCGAGCGTAGCGTATCACAAAAGCGCATATTTCCCGTTTACGGGTCCCGTTATTATCTTAGTGGACTGACCGGAGCGGCTAATCTTGACCACAGCGCTAAACCCATTCCATATGCAGACGGATAAATAGCGAAACATACAGAAATCAGTTGATAGTTGTGTCTTAACCGCGGTCGCCATTTTGCCGATCTATTTTGGCCCTTTCTTGACATGATTTAGAAAAAACAAGCCGGTTTTGCATTAGTTTACAAAATCTGCCCTCCTGTGGATTCTTCTGGCTAGGGAATAAATGCCATTTTCCATTATGTGTGTTATATCAATATATACCACTCCGTAGTGAATGAAATTGCCGTGTGCAGGTTGGTCAACTCTCAACTCCTTAGGAAAAAAACAGTACAATAAAACTGGACTTGGGGAAACCTTGAGGTCACGTGACAGTGGGCCTTCCAAGGGCTATTAGCACCGTTATGTGAGGTGCACTGGCGTGATGAGCGACACGTGCAGTAATTGATGATTAGACAATGATATGACGTGTTGTGTATTTCACCTACTGTAATTTCCACGTGCGATATGACGTTTAACGTGTAGTCATGTAAACATACCGGGAATGTGCGTTACAGACGATGTGACGCCGAAAGTCATGTATTACGTCAGAATGTTCGTATGAGTGTTAATAAATTTAATTAGTGCAACATTGTGAATCATTGTGAGACAGTTATGTCTGCTTGAAGATGGGATACAAGTTTGTAGTTCAGGGCAGTATCAACTATGTAAATACATGTTAACATTTTATGTGTTCATATTTGTTAAATAACTGTTATGACTTATAATAACCTACCATTGCTAGATACGAGATTTATTGTGTTCTGATTAAATATACATAACTGAATGAACATACACAAAGGAGGAATCGGTGTGCAGGTTACTTAATATCATGGACCAGGGACCATGTTAATATCTTGACCAGTAAACCATGATTCACTTTCAGAAACTAATAGTTGTGGGAAAAAGCTTTAATGATGCACCCATTTGCTTTATGGCACAGGAAGTTATTACTATAAGTGCTTTATTAATTTATTTATTGTTTCCTTCATTAAGGATGTAATTATTTCTCCTTCTCAGTTTGAAATCACAAGCCAGATATGCCAAGAAAAGACATTAAGTGGTCATATATGTATTTTGATATTAGAAAACAAGTTCCCATGCTATTAAGTTTAACATGGCATTGTTGATGTAAACCGATAAAACGTTAATTTACAATGTCAGAATCAGGAGCTGGTATTGTGTTCCAAGATGTATTTTCCAAAAACTCATTACTTAAGCAGTTTAAATGATTTATGGGTGTGTAATTTGGAACCAGGGTAGTGTTTCTCTGGGCCCCGAGACAGGCCTTAACAAACATCAGGTATAAATAGCTGATTATAGTAGTCTACTTGACAGCTGTATATAGCTGCCAGTGTGGCATGAAAATACGACAGGTATGACTGGAAAATGTCAAATATTATATCCTCCATTCCTGATGCTGGCTCCTTGCAGGAGGTAGTTATGGGGAAGGGGAGTGAGGGTTTGAGACGGGGGAGAGGTCTTGAAGGGCTAGAAGGAAGATGGTTGAATATGTGGAAATTTGATCCTATAGGTCTGCTGTAAGGATGATTGATTGTCACAGAATAGTGGGGAGGAATTGATGAAGAAAGAATGAAGGAGAGAGAATTTAGAAGTGAGAGAGAAAAAATCTAATGGTTTAATTGGACTTTTAAGATAATGGAAGAAACTTGAATAATGAAGAATTGAGTGAATGTTGTTTTATGCCAGTGATGGCGATATTCAAGCAATATTATGGCAGGAACAGCACAGATAGGCTTCTTGTGTTGTACCCTTGTGGGAATTGAACACATTTTTGGGTAAAAAGCAAACAGTTAACCACTAGCCTACCTCATCAACTCTTAACACTGCGAGAAGACATATTGCAATATCATGTTTGTAGCAGATGCCGTAGGATAGGAATAAAGACATCTTACATCAAGTCAGTGGCAAAATTAATTGCACATGTATATGGCATTGCAGTTGATACTGGGATTAAAGGCCTGTGCTCAAAGGCCAATACTTAGCCTCAAGTCTGCAGTTAATGTAAGTGTAAATTCCCAAATGGGAATTAATAATTTCCCATTTATGTTAATACAGTTATAGCAAATGTGATGGCTTCTATTCTACAGACAGCGGGACCAATAAGTGAGTGAGTGAGTTGAGTTTTACGCTGCACTCAGCAATATTCCAGCTATATGGCGGCGGTCTGTAAATAATCGAGTCTAGACCAGACAATCCAGTGGTCAACAGCATGAGCATTGATCTACGCAGTTGAGATATGATGACATGTGTCAACCAAGTCAGCGAGTCTGACAACTTGAGCCCGTTACTCGCCTCTTACTCAGGACCAGTCAAGAAGGGCAATGAATATTTAATTTACATCACTGCATTACATGCAATAAAACAATGCAACATGAAGATGTCTCTGAAACAAAGTCCAAATGTTGAACAAGGTAACAATGTTTTCCTGATTTGCCTGTCAGGGCACTTAAATCCCAGATAGAACCCTGTGGCATCAGTCGGTTCAGAGAGCTTTTTGTCTCCATCTTCTGCGGTATTGTATGCTTAGCATTAATTTTCAGAAACAAATTGAATGAGGTTCTATTTTGATTTTAAGTTCACTGGAACTAAGGGTAGTCTGTCTCACAGTCCCTGAAGCACATTATTTTCCCTACTGCCAAGCCCTATCTGCAATGCTAGAACTAAGGGCTGTGGTGCATTTTTTATGCCTGCCAGTCGGACCTACAGCTTTCGTATTTTCATAGACTAACAACTAGTCTCTGAAATGAACATATTTTACAGAAAAAAAAACTCATAGTAAAAAATATAAAATATAATGAAAAGGAGCCCTGAGACTTTCTTCATTTTCAAAAGCTGTGGAAATCTAGGCTTATCACATTTTCTAGACTTGCGTGGGCTTTCTTGGATATATTTGCTTCAGGGTCTTTACGACAGACTAGTATTTTCAGTATCAACGTCAATATAAGTCAAATAGCCAGGAATTAAAAGGTCTACCAGTACATCAGTTTCTGATGGTGGTTATTAGGAAACACAGTATAGATGTTCAATGGTGATGTATCTGATAAGGGTATTACATTTGTGAATTAGACGTTACGTTTGCTATGTTTCAGTGACTGTTTTCATCCTTGATACATTAAAACAATGCTTGTAATTTTTGGGTCAAATCTATTTGTAATTTACTTTTTAGACTGACAGTTTGAGGTCTGTCAGAGTTAGAAATAAATTTTAATTTTCATTACATTTGTAATTTTTTTGTCAAATCCAATTTTCATTTACTTTTTTGCTGGCAGTTTATTATTGCTCAAAGTTTATTTTCTAAACATAAAGTAGGAAAAGCAAGAGTTGTAGCTCATGATTTGCCTAGCATCAACTTAATGTTAACAGTGAATGTCCATGATGAAATATCCAATTGTCATTCCACATTCTTGGAAGTCTCATGCAATTGTGACTTACATATATACCCATGCCAATAATGGTTATCACCCCCTTCAATTTTTTTACATATATTTCAAACACTGCCTGTGATGCTGAATCTTTGCACCGAGGTTCCCTGAAATGGCTTCTTTACCAATTTATCATTGTGAAATCGGATCTGCAGTAAGTATGTGTTGAGCACAATAACATGTGGTATGTTTTTGGTGTTTTGATTTTTGACTCAGCCATGACCTTTGTGTGCTTCACCTTCAGCCGTTTCTTGGCAAAACAAGGTTGCACATGCTTTGTGCAGGTAAAAATACCTAGGCAATGAAATCACATAAACAGTAATGAGGGCAATATAAAGTTATTAAAAGAATATTTATGTTTGTCAACATCGTTTGGAGCTTTTATAAAAATAATATGGCCCTTTGAATGAGAATTTTGTAGCTTCTAATCATCATCAATGCTATAAAGGTTACGTTAAAAATGTTAACCAAAAATACTGTTACAGCATAAAAAGGGTTAGGTCACATACTGAGATTTTTTTATTCCAATTTTAGCTGACCCTGACATTGCAGGGGAAGATCTGGGTTAAAATTGATATTCAGTAACCCATGTTTGTTGTAAGAGGTGACTAACAGGATCAGGTGGTGAGGGTCACTGACTTGGTTGACACATGTCATCATATCCTAATTGTGTAGATCGATGCTCATGATGTTGATCACTGGATTGTCTGGTCCAGACTAAATTATTTACAGGTCCCCGTCATTTAGCTAGACTGACTGACTGAGTTGAGTTTTACGTCGCTTTTAGCAATATTCCAGCAATATCACAGCGGGGGACACCAGAAATGGGCTTCACACATTGTACCCATGTGTGGAATCGAATCCAGGTCTTCGTCGTGACGAGCCAACGCTTTAACCACTAGGCTACCCCACCGCCCCATTTAGCTAGAATATTGCTGAGTGTGTTGTTAAACAACCCACCAACCATACAGATTTATGGTTTGAGAATATCACCATCAACCAATGGATGAGGCGACACAGGGGACTGGCCAGTCAGATTTGGTTATAATGTTGATTGTATGTCATCGTTAACAGACTGGGATGATGCTCATGATGTCAGTCAATGGATTGTGTGGCCCAGATCCCACACATCTGTCGTCACACACCTGGAATATTGCTGAGTGAAGCATTTGTCAAACTCTAGTAAAGAACTAAAATGTAGATGTAAATGTTGAAACTTTGTCAGGGAAAACAGTTGTATCAAGTTTGGCCTTTGGTTATTGATTCTCCTGTTTATGATACTATCTAATTGTTTGTATGTTTATACCAGGTGAGGTTTTAAACCCTGGAGACAAATTAAACTTTATTAAACTTTTGTTGAAATAGGATAGACTTGAGTACAAAGATGTTTGGAATATTTTCTCAAC